AGAATAGGGGCTCTATGGGAAGATGTTGATATTCGCTATATTTCCCCCTCTAAGATCTTCCTCAGCGCTGCTCATTAACTATGCTGGTGACCTCCTGACTTGGTGTTATCTTTCCTGTAAAGCAGTGGTATGCGGTCTGGTGAGCCCACGCCTGGTTTTGAGTTACCTCAGAGCTTTTCGGAAAGAGTCAACCTGCTTCACTCCCCTCATTTTAGGGAAGGTTCCTCTTTTGAAGTCTGATACGACTGCACTGGGGATCCTGGCCATTGCCCACGTGAACCTATATTAAATCTGCCAGTCCTCTGGTCACTGTTTTCAACTGGTTCAGCAACACAACACTCTTCTTGTGAGCCATCCTGAGGCTATGCACAGGTTAAATGTTTTAAATAAATAAATTAATAAAATACATCTTCCAGAGGTCCTGGGCAACACTGCTGAAGATTCTGGCCAGGCCACGTCCCCGTCACTCTGGCCACTTCCCTGCCAACTGTGCTAAAGTGTGGTCATTTTGGGTATCACAAAATGTCATCTCTTTGTGGCGACTGGAACTGGCATTCAGTGTGGGAAAAAGTGAAGTCACTCTTCCTCCTTGGAATACTTCATTTCATCCTTCTCCTTAAAATCACTCTGAGTTTTAGCTTGTTAGGAACCTGGGGCATAAATGGAAGAGAAGAGAATAATAAATTCACCAAGGGTGGGACCCAGGGAGGTGCCCAGAAGCTCCTGATACTCAGTTCAGGTTGCGGCAACCCAGATTCAGGCCGGACATCAGGAGCAGCTTCCTCACGGTCAGTGTAACACGGCAGAGGGACTGGCTGCCTGGGGAGGTGGAGGGCTCTCCCACACTGGAGGCGTTCAGGAAGAAACTGGGCAGCCCTCTGAGTGGGATAGTGTAACATGGTGTCCTGCAGCAGTGGGGGGCTGGACCTGCTGGCCTTCATGGCCCCTTCCAACATTACTATTCTATGGTCCTATGAGTCTATGATCCTGAATTTGAAGGCCCTCAGGCATCCTATGCAGAACAAGAGGAACGCTTGGGGGATCTTTGCCTCCCTGCTCTTCCAGACCTGAAAATCAACCTGAAGCTAATTTTGCTCATCTAGCCAAAGCGACTTGGATACAGAGGGAAGGCGGTTGGAAGGCATTTTTCTGTCACAGACTAGGATGGGCCTTCTGGAAGCTTACAAAAGGACAGAATTAGACGTCCTTCCTCCAGAGACACTGACTGTAAAAATCAACCCAGGTGACTCATTTAGGTGACAAAACACAGTGTCCCTTGCCCTCTGCATCCCTCAGTCCAAAGAGAAAGGCAGCCTAAATTGTCAGCATTAGAGGAGGAACTGTTTCCCCTCAGTGTTGTCAGGTACATAATGTATGGGAAATTGACCTTTTACTGTCTACCTCTTCAGTTTGCTTAGAAATGTTAATTATGAGTTTCTCTTGAAGCTGGGTTTTTAAAATGACTCATCTTGAGGCTTTTCATATCAGGCAGGGTTGATTTATTTTAGATACAGCTTTTACGCACCATCCTCTGATTTAAAAAAGAAACAAAATGAAAGCAGAAATGCCTGATTTCCGCTCGGAATTGTGTTCTAGATGTTCAGTAAAAGGACACTGGATTTTTGTTGAACCAGCAGAGGGAGCGAATGCACCGCACTGCAAAGTAGGGATGGTTCAAAGGGCTTTGTTGCTGCACAAGCGTGTTTTAAATGAACTTCCGAAGTTCTCGACCCGTCTCATGTTTTCATTTTGTAATGGCAAGGGCAAGGCTGAACTGGCTAGAAGCCCCATACCGAGGAAGACAGGATGTGCTCCAGCGGAGCCTAGCGCAAGGAACCAAGGTTCAATTTGGATGCCAGGAAGCACTTCCTGACAGTTAGGACCCTAAGGGTGTGGAATGGGCTTGCACGGGAGGTGGTTGAGGCCCCATCGGTGCGGGTGTTCAAAGATAGGCTGGACATCCACAAGGTGGGCATGTCGTGAGCGGAGCCGGCTGGAGCCGGGGGTCAGACTAGATGGCCCAGGAGGCCCTTCTGACCCACTCTGTTCCCATGTTTCATTGGCATTGCAAATGCCCCCCCCCCTCGTTTTTCTCTTTGCAAGAGCGGCTTAGGGCTAGAGTTTAACCTGTGGAGTGTGAGCAGCTTCCCCAAGAGCCATGCCTAGAATTCAGCCATCCAGATCAGGAACCATCAGGTTCAGTCCGAGCTTACGGGCTGAATCAGTCCCCCGAAGCAACCTTAGCAGTGGCTTAGCCAATTTTATTCCAGGTGAAGTTCAAAATATGGCCTCTGGTTTTAGTTGCAAGCAAAGGAAGCAAGGCTGCAGTCCTTAGCAGCCCAATCTGGACTGAATAGACAGGTGTAGGATTATGTGGACAGCATCTTCTGGCCACAAGTTGCTGGAGCTGAGTGCAGCTCCCCCACGTGGTGCACCATGGAACTGCAACTGATTCTCTCCACCTGCCTGGCCATTGGTTTCTCCTAGACAGGATGGCGTATAAGAGAACCTTCACTGAAGCACCGTTAGTGCAAGAGCCCCTTCCTGACCTCTGACATGCTTCTTTGGTTGCTGCGTCTTGTCTCCGGTCATCTCAGGCAGGAGTTCACACATGCGCAGCTGCCTTGGTGCTCCCCGGTAGGGGTGCAAAGCTTGGGTCAGAATCTGCTTTGCTTGCACTCGATGGACTTCTTTCCACGCTTGGCCCTGGCCAGGAAGCAAGCGGAGCCGAGATCAAGTCTGCGCATGCTTGGAAACACTGGTGGCTTCTTTGCGCAAAGTATTTGTGCAAGATATGCAACGTGTATAATTCACAACTAAACAATTCTTTGTGCAAAGTGTGCAAAACCTACAAGTCACGTGTGCAGAAACAGACTCCCACTTGAGCCGGCTTCCTCCTGGATGCTCACACAAACACTCCACGTGAGGCAGACGCGCGGGAAGAGAAGCAGGCTAGAGTCCAGGCAGCCGAGCCGAGGAGATCCGACCAGATTCCTCACGCATCCCTGCTCCCCAGTGGCGTTGCTGCTGCCCACCTCGTCGCATCCATGTTGCCCCCCTCCCATTCCCACGGAGGCTCCCACTGCTGTCCCCTTGCGCACAGTGCAGCCTGCCCTGGGCCGTGCTGGGGGTCCTCCCAGTGCAAGCCAGGGGATGGGTGGGTGAGCCTTCTGGAGAGCCATTTCAGCCAGAGAAGGTGGCCAGCAAGGCTCCTCAGAGCACTGAGCAGCCTGGCTCAGAGGGAGTCCTTCCTCAGAGCTAGGCCTTGTGGGAACAGAGTCCCCAGCCATCTGCTGGGGCCCTCGTCCCTCTGAGCCGGGCATTTGGGCCTGGCCAGCTCTCTGCAAAGGCGCACTGGCTGCTTCCTGTGGCTGATGCCACTCTCTGGAAGGCCCCTATGGAGAGAATAATCAGTGTGGCCCAGAGGGTGGGTGGCTGGGAGCAGATTCCTGCCTCCTGTTTCATGCAGAGGGTCTGCAAAGCAAAGAGCTGCTCTGCGGATCCCCCTCACCCTCCACTGTGGCAGATTCCATGACGGGAGAGGGGCTGGGGGGGAGACCCAGCACAGCTGCAGGAGCATTGCCTTGCTGGGTCTCCTGTGTGGGGGATGCACAGTTCCCCACTCCCCCTATTCTGCACCTGAGGCGGCACCTCATCCTGCCCCATGGGAGGGCTCGCCCCGCTTGCTTGCCCCTGATTGGCTGCTCCCGTCGGTGTGTCCGTGGCTTGGCTGAAGTCGCTGCCCCGGCCTCACCTTGGCAGTGCCCTCATGCAGATGCTGCTGCATTTTGTGGCACTGCTGCCTTGGGCCAGTTTGGGAAAGAACGAAGAGGGTTGCTGCCCTGACGCCTTGAGGGGGCCTCACGTGACCCCCTGTGCCACACTGAGCGCAGGCATGTGTCCCTGAAAACGTGCCGCTTCTCCCTTTGACGGCGTGTGACGGTACAGTCCATTCTCGGAATGGACGCTCAGCTTAAGAGTAAAGCTCCAGCGGGAGGGAGAGCAGTGGCCTTTGCGTTGCCCACCAACTTTCAGCAACACTGGATGGCAAGCAGAACTGGAACAGACTCTTCCTACTGTGGGGACTGTCATTATAATAATTCTTTTCAAATTGGCACCTGTGCATGTAAATCAGCCTGTGCAGATGCACACAAGGACAAGGAAATCCGTCCTGTTTTTGTGGTGATGTGCTGTCAGGTCAGCCCTGACTTGTGTCTTATGGCTTTATGACTCACGGCGACAAATCAGTGCCCCAAAATTTCTTCCCCACGGCAGCCCTGCTCAGCTCTTCTGAAACCTCTTTGGTGACGCATCAGTGGCAGGAAAGTAAGGACAGCCACGCTGGATCCGGCCAGTGGTCCATCCAGACCAGCAATCCATTGACATGGGGGCAAACCGGCCGCTCAAGGACACTTCCACCAGGATAGGTGCAAGAGGCAACCTTACCTTGTATTCAGCAGTGTCCCGGGCAGGTGTTTCCCTGCTCACATGTAGGGCTAAAGTGAGGAAGGAGGCATAGGTGGACAGAGGAGCCCTGCCCCAAATGTCCCTGGGGGCCCAGATGCCAGAAACCTCTGGAAAGAGCCCTGAAGGTGTGTCCAGGTGAACACACTACAGAGCTTCTGTGGTGGAAATCCTGCTCTTGATTTACCGTGATTCCAGTCTATTTCCGAAACTTTCAGTTGCAGTGGGGGCATGCTTATGTGCTTTTGCCCCATATGTGAACAGACACACTCCTGCAGAGTGCTTACATATACCCCACATCGATCTGTCAGCCAGCCACTTCTAGATGGCTGTGGTGGGAGAGTGTGGGAGAACACCAAACCGACGGATTTCTCCATCAGATTTGCCCATTTTGAAGCACTGAGTGGGTGATGGATTGTCCACCAGGTCGCCACTCATAAGAAAATGTGTTTGTGGTGCTTCAGGCTTATCTGTGTCATGTGACTAGTATCAGTCTTTGTCTAGCATGGCTAATGGGATTGTGTCTTCCTCCACAGTCAACAAGTACGTGGTCAGCGTGTTCACAGGAGATATAAGTGGCAGCGGGACAGATGCTGATGTCTTCATTAACATCTTTGGCCAGTATGGAGACACAGGTAGTATTTCCCAGTGAACTGTCTTCTTTGGGGTTGCAACACAGAGTGGCTGAGAAATGAGCAAAGCCGAGGCCACTGGCGTCCGGGGGAAGGTGCTTCTGGAGCTGTCCCGAGGCACTGCAGCCTTCCTTGAGCACATGTCCCCCAGAGGTGTTGGATGGCAGCTCCCGTGAATCCCATGGCCACGGTGACTGGAATGAAGGCAGTTGCAGCTCAGCGCTTCAGGAATGCGTTCATCTGGGAAGTGCTGGTGAAGCGGTTGGGATGTTAGATAAATGCAGTAATTAAATACAGATTGACTGTGGGTTGTTGTTGAAACATCGGCTGTTGTGTTGTCTGATCCCAGCCAAAATAATAAACCACAGTGAACAGCCCATGGTTCATAACTCAACAACAAACCCTGGGTTCTCTTCATGGGTTGTTCCTGATTCACAAGCTGTGGCTGGGTTCAGACACTACAGTAACCCATGTTTCAACAACAGCCTATGATTCAGTGGCAATTCATGTTCAATCTTTCATTTCGGCTTATCATGAAGTCTGAACACAGTCACAATCTTCTAGTGTTACCTATCTCACAAGGTTATTGTGAGAATAAAATGTAGTTGAAGTTGTACCCTTCATATACTGCTGGCCTGCCCTGCTGGAATTTTTCAAGAAATTACCATTTCAAAGCACATTTTCAGTCATATGTTTAACAAATTACTTAGTCTCTCAGCTAAGGATAATTTTACTTGATTAATCATGTACTTTTTAAAGAGTGGTTGATTAATATATGAATCAACTGAATTTACATACAGTTGTATACCACCATTACTCAAGGTACTGAAGGAAGAGTGAGGTAACATATGATTTAATAAACCAAAATGACTGCTCATTAGTAGATGTAAAAGTAATTTTTAATAGTTCCATTTCACACTCAGTTATAGTCACACCCTAATCAGAATGCACTCCACTCTATCTCCTTAAATCAGAAAAGTCTGCCATTAATTCAAGATACTATCACTTTGCAGTTTGCTTTTTCCAATTAAACAATTGTCTCCCACCAACTCAAATGTTGATTGATTAATCTACATTAATGTACATTTATCTACATTGATTAATGGTGCAATCCTACATGCCTGACCGCCTCCACCCTCATGTCAGCCATAGGGAGGATGTAGGATGCTGTACTGGTCCCTCTCAGCCCACCTCTGTCTCAAGAGAAGAGCATCAGCGGTGTGTGTTTGTGTGCTCAGCAATGGCAAAGGCTGCCACTGTGGGTAGGTTCGCATGACATGTCAAACCAAGGACGTTTCTTGCGCAGGGTGGTATGTTATGTCATTTGAACCCTGCGCATTTCATCATCGTACATTTAGTTTTTAGAAACCATGATAAGCAGCAATGGCCTGCCCTATGGTTTCTGCACTTCACCGTGGGTTTTCTGGTCATGCAAACCCCACATCATGGTTTCCACAGTCCTGGTATGCAGCTACCACGGAGTCCTTGGAAAGAGCGGCAACTGCAGGAGTTGCCCCAGCCATCCAGTGTGGGAGGGAATTTTGGGTGTGGGGGCTGATGGGATATGTGCCAAAGCAGAAAGAAAGTAGACACCACACTATTGCAGAAACCACTTGGCAAAAACACCGCACTGTGCAAGCCACAGAAGGCTGTTTGTCCTGGTATGTGAACGCATGGATGGATCCAGACCAGTAGTGGCAGCCAGGAGAGGGGCTCCAGGAAGGTTACTTTGGGTAACTTGGAGCAAATTTCTATGTGCAGGAAAATTCACTTCACAACTCTAAAAAGTCTATTCCACTGGGAAAAAAAAGCAAGAAGAGAACCCATGAATTTCTCCTCCACAGTGCCACTGCCTTTCTTGGCTTTTTCTTCCTGACTGGCAGGGCTGCTGCTGAATTAATAGATCCATCCCATTGTTTCTTCTCTCTCCGTCCCATCCTACTCCGGATTGCTTGGTTACATGATCTGTTCTTTTTTATTGCATCTGTATACTACCCAATAGCTGTAGCTCTCTCAACATTGCAGTCCTACATAAAACTTATTTAGAACTTCTCTGTGAGAACGTAGTCACAATCTCAGTAGGGCTTAGCTTCAAGTATGGAATACTACAAAGCTTTTTCTTTGACAAATAGTATATTGAATTGTAATTACGAAAAACAAATGAAAAATGGGGGGGGGGAACCATGTATCATACTTAAAGACCAGCCAGTTATGCCTTTATGCCATAGCAAAGACACACCAAATTGCTCTTCTTCTTGGGGTCACACAGTTCCAATGCTGAATAAATGACGTCCACTCCTTCCTAAAAATTTAAATACAAGTTCTGTTATCTGGACTTTCTCAAAAGCTTCCTGTCATCCATAAGTTAATTCATGGCATGGTGCTGTTTGCTCAGTGGTGGAGAACCTGCTCTTCATATGGAGGTTCCTGCTGGCATCTCCAGCAAGGCTAGGAATCCTGCCTGAAACCTGGAGAGCGATGGCCACCAATCTGTGTTGGCAGTGCTGGCCTAGATGGACGAGTAGATGAATGAAGGAATATTGCTCATTCCTTCATCCCTAGCACGACGCCCCAGATTTTCTTCCTCCGAGTTTCTAAAGTCAAAATAATCCGTTCCAAGTTTCATCCTTCATCATGGAATGAAGATGAAGATGATGATGTTGATGATGATGATGATGATGAATTTTATTCCTGTACTGCTCAGTAGCTGAACATCCCAGGATAGTATACAAAAATCCATAAAACACAATCAAATGTAATATAAAAGAAAAATAACAATAAAACATCATAAACGTTCACTGCAAAAGCTTAAAAACTGAATTTTAAAATTACTAAGACCGCTAGGTGAGGTGAATACAGCTAGGCTGAGAAAGCAGCAGATGTGGCCCACCCCTTCATGTGCTACTTGGAGTCCTTAAACGCCTCCAGCAAGAGGGCAGCTTCCCCTGTGGCCAGAAGGCGTGTAGCTTTGCCTCCCGGTGGGCCCCCGTGGGATTGTGGTTGCGATGTGCCATCAGGTTGCCTCTGACTTATATTGCCGCTGTGGATCCAAGCCCTCCAAAATGTTCTTGGGGCTTGCCACAAATAAGGCCCTTTTCCTTGTTGCTGCCATCCGAATGTCCCTCCAAAAAGGATTTCGAAGCAACGCGGTCAATATTGCACACCGTGTCTGAATAGATTGTGGTTGGGAGAGGCTTTCGGTCAAGAAGTGCAGTCGCAAGAGACAGTAACACTGCACTGTGATAAGCTGATCTTCCCTTTCAGAAGCTGGGAGGGAACAACCCCGTATGTTTACGGCATCTCTGCTCCATCAGCTTTAATGTGCTCAAAGGGGACAACTTATCTTACTCCGTCCTCCTGTGGAGAGCACTTCCAGGAAGAGAATAATTCACAATTACACGCAGATCCTAACAACGGCAAGCAAGCGAGTACATTCACTGTGTTGAAATGTGCTGGAAGTCAGAACATAGGAAAAGCCAGACTGGATTAGACCAAAGGTCTGTCCAGTCCAGTACTTGGTTTGCAGAGTGGCAAGCCAGCTGTCCACAGGATCCCTCGAGCAGGTTGGGTGCAAGACCTCCTCCTGCCCGAGCAACTCAGCACCTGCCGAATGCAGGCATGCCAGCTCTGGTGAAGGTGGCGGCCCATAGCCGGCCCTCCAGATATAAGCTCTGAGGGTCCTTCACTGCTCTGCATTTTCCAGCCGCGCAAACGGCCCTTTCAGCAGCTCACTATCCTCACACTCCAATAGAGCCATGTGGATGCGCTTGTGGCTCACCTGTAACAGAGAACCTTCCCCGTGACGTGACGTTCTGTCTGTTCTCTAGAGCTCCAAGAGATACATTCTGAGCTGGTGTTTTATCTGCTGTTGACACATACGCAGAAATCAAGAAGATTGTTTTTCTGTTAGATGTATAAGCTTATGTAGTGTCTCCGTTTGCTTTGGCAGCTAGGAAGAATAGATCGAAGGTAGTACTGAAGGGAGTAGCTAATTGAGTATGATGAAATTAATTTTTATCTTACTTTTATAATTATTTTATTAATTTTAACATTTGCTGTCTATGAACTTTCTTAATATTCTGTCATGTCTTTTGTAAATTTTGTGAAGGCCTATGGCTAAATACAATTAAATGCTTGACTCTGTCATAGCTAACAAGGCCATGGATATCCCCCTCCTCCATGAACCCTCCCTTTTAAAGCCCCCCAAATGGGCAGCCATCTTTGCTTCCTGCAGTGGCGAATTCCGTAGTTTAACTGTGCGTTGTGTGAAGAAGTATTTCCTTTTCTCTATCCTAAATCTCCCAACAGGCACCTCCATAGAATGACCCCTTTGGGTTCTAGTTTCAGGGCCAACTGAGAGGTAGGATTAGTCTGTGTGGTTATTTACGCACCCCTGGCATGCTCTCGGTATATGTTCCTGACTGGCAAAATCAAGCATACAGAGCAGCTTTGGTTATCTGAAGCAGTTGGATGTTTTGATACAGTTGACCTCTTGCAGCTTGTTTGCTCTTGGTCTATGAACGGCACGATCCAACGGCTTTTCCAGAGAGTCAGAGGTGCTCTGGGAGAGGCTGGCTTGCTTCCTTGCTGTGCAGGCTGCTTGGCTAGCATGAGGCAGCAATGTGATACAGCTGCGTAACGGGCAAACGCTAGTTTGGGCTGCATTGACAGAAGCATCACTTCCAAAACACACGAAGTGGTAGTTCCCCTTTATTCAGCACTACTCAGACTTTCCTTGGAGTCCTGTGTCCAGTTCTGGGCACTTAAGGTTAAAAGAGAAGCCGGAGAGATAGAAAGGGTACAGAAGAGGGCAACAAAGATGATTGAGGGACTGGAGGCCAAACCCCATGAGGAAAAACTGAGAGAACTGGGCATGTTCAGCCTCAGGAGGAGAAGACTGAGGGGAGATGTGATCGCACTCTTCAAGTACCTGAAAGAAAGGTGAAGGACAAGGTCTCTTCTCATTCATTCCAGAGTGCAGGACATGGAATAATGGACTTACGTCAAAAGAAACCAGATTTAGACCAGGAAGAATTTCCTGACTGTCAGAGCAGTGCAACAGTGGAACCTACTACCTGGGGAAGTTGTGGGCACATAACTCCCACACTGGAGACTTTCAAAAAGAAACTGGACAGCCACCTGAATGGGATGGTGTAAATTGGTGTCTCACAACAGCAGGGGGTTGGTCCCAATGACCTTCTGGCCCTTTACAACTCTACTAATCTATGATCTCTGTTCACAGGTTTTGCAGGCATTTGTAGTGCTTTGAAAAACAAGACAGACAAGCAAAACAAAATCCAGAAAAAGCTTTTTGTCACCAGGGGACTCAATGAGACGTGTGTGTGTGTGTGTGTGTGTGTGTGTGTACAGCACAGAAAACAAGGCAATCTTCAGCTGTCATAATATATTCTGTTTCCAGTCTTGGAAGAGAAATTCTCAAATTCTTATTTGTGATGCCCTTATATTTGTGTTGTTGGGGGAGCAGCTAAGGTACCCGAATCTAGGTCAGGATGGTGTTTTTTCCACATTTCCCCACAGCATAGTATTTATGCAAGGCATGGCCAGGCCGAACATTTCACACTGCCAGACACGCACAGGGATGGATTCCACATACTCCCGATCACGGCTGTGCCTGAAGGCAGCTCCTGGCCACACAGAAGGACCTAGACGTCCGCCCGTCCCATCTTCACCCGCCTTCAAGGAGCTCCTGAAAACTTCACTTTTCATCTTGACTTGTACTTGAGCTAGTTTGTCTGGTGCTGCCTAGTTTTAATTGGTAGTATTTGGATATTTTCTTAGCATTGTTTTATCAATGTTTCATTGTGTTCTGGAGTTTTGATACTGCACGCTCTCTTGGGAAGATTTCCCTTAAACGGCAGCCTATAAACCTTTCTAAGAACCCTAACAAGGGTATCCATGACGTTCAAGTCTCTCGGGTTCCCGGCTGAAATCTAAGGCACACGCTCACTTAAAGCGGTTTCCATGCCTCAGAGTAAATTAATTGCACATGTACCACCTGCATCTAATTTCTCCTCGTTGTTTGCCTTTTCCTTTAATGCCACTTAAATGTGGCTTAGGGGAGCGGAAGCTGGACAATGACAAGGACAATTTTGAAAAGGGTGCAGAAGACAAGTTCACCCTTGATGCGCCCAATCTGGGCAAGTTAAGGAAAATCACCATCGGACACAATAACAAGGGAGGCTCAGCCGGCTGGTTCCTGGCCAAGGTTTGTACAGGTGTGCTCATTTCTCTCCAGGAAGAGGGGAAACTGCCCACAGGTCCACTTGGTTTGGGACTGGCTATGCCAGAGGCAGGCAATTTGGCACTTGTGGGCACAATTGCACCCTTTAACATCTTTAACACCTGAAGTGCCCTTTCCCACTTACCTTTAAGTAAAAAAAGAAAATATTCTCACAGGTGCCCCCAGATGCCCTCTAACACTGTAACCTCTGGCCCTTCTAAGGCTTATTTATTTGATTTATATCCCCCTTTTTTCTTACAAATTCTAAGTGGCTTGCATCCTTCTCCTCCTGCTGCTCTCAACGTTATCCCCACAAGAACAGCCCTGTGAGGTAGGTTGGGCTGAGAATCTGTGGCTGGCCCAAGCTGCTGCATGGCTGAGCTGGGACTAGAACCTGGAACTCCTGGATCCGCAGCCCAGCGCTCTAACCACTGTGCCACAATGGCTCTCCTTAGGCTTGGTGACTGACCCCAAGAGCTTTAAGCCAAAATAGACTGGTATTTTTTTCACCCTTCTTTTTGCCCTTGGTCCCGCCTACCCCAAGAGCTTCTCCAAAATAGAATTCAACCCCTGGGCTGAAAGAGTTTGCCACCTGCTGCATTAAACTGTGTACCATACTAGTAGGAACCTGGCCAGATTTTAATTCATGCAGGGAAGTTGTTGTGCAGATAAAATGGAGCATCTCATAAGCAGCCTTGAATTCCTTGCAGGAGAGGAAAGTCAGAGTATAAAGGTAGGATGATAATAATTTGGTGGTTAGATCCTTGTTTAAATGCTCAAGCATCTCCGATGCTTTTGCCCTAGGTGGTCATTGAAGACATTGGAAACAAGTGCATGTACGAATTCCCGTGTGGCCGTTGGTTTGCGCTGGACGAAGATGATGGCAAAATCCAGCGAGACATTTTGGTGGGAGGAACAGAAGCGACAGGTAAGTGCGTTTGAGGCTGCAGGTGACCAGGAGCCAAGGTTAATGATAGATCATTCAATCACAGGACAACTAACACAGGGAAATGAGAACAAAGCCATTGTTTTCCCTCTGCCGCAATACTTTGGAATTTTAGAGACTTCTTCTTGCATAGGAAAAACTCAGTCTCTGCTCCCTGGCTGAAGCACACATCCGAGTTGTCTTTGCTTTGTTTAGGTTTTTTGTTCGTTTGTTTGTGTTAAAACACAAAGCAACTTCTCTCTTCCTGAAGGGATCTTTTTTGTAGCAAAGGGTTTCTTCTTCCAGTATGCAGGGCAAAAACGTAGAGCTTCTGTGGCTAGAATTAGATTGTATTCTGCATACTGTAGATGTCAGATACATGCGGTATAGCAGGGGTGAAGGACCTCTTTCAGCCACGTGGCAAATTCCATGTCGGAAGCTCTCGAGGGCCTCATTCTAGCAGTGGGTTGTCCGATGGTGGCAGGGCCACAAACGTCAAAACTACCAGCATAGTCATTCTTTTCATATACTGTGCTTCTGCACTGCCCAATAGATAAAGCTCTCTGGATGGTTTACAAAGAACAACCCTCTAAAAACTCAATAGAATTGCATAACTGGGGACTATTTACATACGAGCATGATTTCGTTAAAAGCTTTTATTGGCAGTAATGGACATGTTGGGAAAAACATTTCATCCTTTGGATGGGGAGAGCATTTTGCAGCTGGGAGCCATCAGTGGATTAGGGTTGGGGTAAATGGCATGGATGCAGGGAAAGGGGCTGCCGACCAGCTGGGGAACGAGATTTCCATCTATAGATGTGTGAAGAATCCCGAAGGGGGATAAAATCCTGAGAGATTTTCTCTACATGGCCATGTGCATTCCCTTCTGTCAGCCCTGAGCTGATGCCGGCTTGATCTAAGGCAGGGGTGCCCAACCTTTTGGCTTCTCGGGGCCACATTGGAAGAAGAAAAATGGTCTTGGGGTGCACATTAAATGCATAAACGCTAACAAAAGCTGATGAGGAAAAAAGTCTGTGCATAGTTTTTGTGATATCTGCCACCGCCATGCATACAAATAACATGTACATTTATTTTACGTGACCTTGCAACACGACTACGAAGTTGTTGTTGTTGAACGTTGTTGTCTACGAAGTTCATGCTTGAGAACTGCATAATCAAGTTACCCCCCAAAAATCGCAAAAATGTTTTAAGTAAGTTTACACTTTTATGTTGGGCTGCATTCATAGCCATTCTGGGCCGCGTGTGGTCCATGGGCCGCAGGTTGGACACCCCTGATCTAAGGTAAGTCGAACCAGCACACGGTCTTCCATTTTGAAAGCAAGCTAATTACTACTACTACTGACAAGATAACAAAGCTGAGACTTATGTATTTTGGCCACATTATGTGATCAAGCTCATTAGCAAAGATATAACGCTTGGAACACTCAGTGGCAAGAGAAAACCAGGTTGCTGAAGAGCGAGGTGGTTCGACTCCATCGAAGAGGATGCGGGCCAGAGCACAGTTCAGCTGGAAGAGATGGCAGGGGATCAGAAAGTGTGGCGAGATTTGGCCCATGAGATAGTCAGACATGACTGAACAGCTGGACATTATTATCTGAGGAGACCTCTGCAATTCCAAAAAATACTCATATACACTTGATATCATTTGTGCAAATTTGTGCAAACTGGATAGTAAAAAATAATGAAAAAAATCGAGGTGTTCACAGTGGGGTGACTGCTCCCACTGTGAGAAGAAGGGGCTTCTTCCATGCTACAAGAAGAACAAGTCAAAGCAAATGAGCCAGGTCCAGTTAATGCAAGTTATGGCAATTTGTGCAAATCCCACTAGAGAGATGCTGTTCTTGGCTCCAAGTTTGTGCAAATATTTTGGGCCATTCTGGGGAAGCTAGAAGCAAAGCCCTGACTTAGCACTCCGTTGGCTGTCAAGTCAGAAATGTGTTACAAATCTGTCGAGCTCAAACAGGAAAAGTTTTCCAGGATCACTTTTCTGCACCCCTGCAGTATAGCATGTCACATTCTTAAAGGAAGATACAATGCAAACATCCTGAGAGGTAAAATGGGAACCCAGAGAAGGGAATTTTGGACAGTTATACTATTATGGTTTAGCATGATGAGCTGCAGAACTGACAGGGCATGATCCTGAGGTAGATAGAAGCTTTCTTCATCTTTGATTTAGATTAGTTTAGCTTTGCACCTGAATTCTACCCTGTAGTAAATCCACTCTAGTTAGTAGAAACCAGGGCTTCCAACTACAATTCCCGTCCAGATGTTTTGGACTGCAGTTACGGTCCAAGGGTAGGAAAATCTGAGAGGTCTGTGTGATTTTTGTCCCACAGGTCCTAACATGGACTGGAATTCTCCCTGGGGCACTGAACAATAAAAAGAGGATTAAAAAAAAAAGGGGGGGGGGATAAAAATGCAGTCCAGAGCAGCTGTGGGGTCCTAGCTCTAGAGTACTAAAAGTATAAAAGGGGTTTCCAATCAGCCGCCCTAGATGCAGTTTTTTGTCTGAATTTCTCTTTTGCAGTTTGGGGATGAGAGCACACCAGAATCCTTGACCTTTGGCCATGCTAATTAAATATGGTGGATTCAGCCCCCACCCTTGGTGCTGCTTAGATGGCCACGCTGTATTTGGGGGGGGGGGAGTTAGGTGAGGAGAGAAGCAGCGTACCTGCAAGCTGCCCAAAATGTCCGGCACTGGACTGCCCAACGGGATACGGCTGCCTGCTTTAGAACGGCGTCCTCATGACCTAGGCCGCCAATGTATTTTCCTCCAAAGGACACCAAAGGCTGCCTGAGCTTCCTGCCCCCTGGGGAAGGAGGCCGTGTATGAATACCTGAAGCTATTCTGGGCCTGGAGGCATCTGGGCAAGCCGCAGGCCTGCTGGGAAGTGTGCTTCCTCCTGGCTTCTGTCCTCGAAACTGCAGCTGCCAGGGTGCGTGTTGCCCTTTCAGAGTGGCTCAATTATTTATTTTGGCAGCTGATGGAAAAGCTGCCCTTTAGTTCCACACTGATCAGTTTTATGCTTTAGAATATTGGCTGGAGAAAAGAAGCTGTACTTTCCTTCTCCAACATATGGGGTGCTTCCATAGTTCCAAACTCAACACTGGTCCAGTTGTCTGCTTTAATTAGAGCCTTCTTCATCAATGCATCCGTTGACCCAAGAAAGACTTAAATGCCGTAGCTTCGCAGAAATTGAATTTGATTCTTGAGTTGAAAGTGGTTCAGCATCTCCAGGAGAAAACATAGAACTAAGGTAATCTTGTATTTCTGTGGGAATTTCCTTGATGGGAGCATAGGAATTGCTCTCATAGTGGAGCAGCTCGGGGGTCCATCCAGCTTAGAGTGGTCTTCAGCAGCTGAAGGCACCGTAACATGCCGAGAATTGAATCTGGGACCTTGTGCAGGCTATGCTGGCAGGGGAGGATGGGGCTTATAGTCCAAGAGACCTGAATGGTCCTGTGTTGCAGAATGTGGCTCTAAGGTGATTTCTCCAGATGGATGATAGGTTGAAGTCATAGAATCATAGACCAGTAGAGTTGGAAGGGGCCATCAAGGCCATTGGGTCCAACCCCCTGCTGTTGCAGGACACCAAGTCACACCATCCCGCTCAGAGGGCTGCCCAGTTTCTTCCTGAATGTCTCCAGTGTGGGAGAGCCCAGCACCTCTCCAGGCACCTGTTTCCACTGTCGTTTTGCTCTGACAGTGAGGAAGCTTTTCCTGATGTCCAGCCTGAATCTGGGTTGCTGAATTGATTATTCCATGTCCTACACTCCGGCATCAGCAAGAAGAGATCTCGTCCTTCCTCTTTGTGGCAGCCTTTGAGGTACTGATAGAGGGATATCATGTCCCCCTCAGCCTTCTCTTCTCAAGGCTGAACATGCCCAGTTCTCTCATAGAATCACGGAATCATAGAACAGTAGAGTCGGAGGTGTTAACGCTTTTAACAGTATCACACTGCCAGTTCCTTCCCATTCAACGCAGTTCTAGATTCCGAGTTCCTCCTGGGACAAAATGTTCCACAGTTAGCGTGAAGCTACCAAGGGCCTTCTCCCTCATCCTGGCCAAGTGGCTTCTGCAGCGGGAAGAACACAGAGAAGAGCCTCACCTTGGACCTGAGCAAGATACATTGTGAAGATGATGTGCAGCTGAAGTGCAGAACCTCTAAGCCATGGGCCTCGTCGAACGCTTGGCGCTTCCACACCCAGGCGGCAGAGCTGGTCTGGGGAGAGGGGCATGGTTTCCCCCTTGAACGGATCACCAGGAGGGCTGGTTGGTGCTGGAAGGAGCAGCTGCTCTTCCCAGCACTGGCCAGGCGGCTCTTGGCCCAAACAGGAAAGCTCCAGCACCAGTTAAATGTGTTCCTGTGAACTGGGAGAGGCATAGAAATCCATGTCTCTCCGCCCAGTATGGATCCAGGCAAGATGAGCTATGTAGTGCCACGTGGCCCATGGAGGACTGGTGGGCAGTGATCCACCCCCCCCCCCACCACCACTGTGCACCTTGGATGGTCTTTCCAGAGACCCCCTCCCTCTTCCCCTCAGCTAGAAGAAATAGGGTTGCTTCTAAGGTCCATTCTGGATTAAGCCACCTGGCGGTTCCATGGCAAGGATGTTATCGGTCCTTGTAACCTACTCATCTCTCCTTTCTCCTGTGGTCAGCCCTCGAAAGGTTTTCGCTTCTGCTAGGTAATAGAGCTAAACATTAGATTGTGGATGTCTAATTTTCCCAACACTGAATGCCTGGTCTGGAAATAGCGGCGTGTGTATGTGTGTGTTGGCTTCCTTCGGGACGGCGCAGGGATGCTCCGCTTTCCTCCCGTCTGAGACTGCTGAAGACGAACATCGGCACAGCTCCGCATGAAGCACTTGCTCATTCATGCTGCTGGTGTTGCTGCGTGCAGCATCTGGCATAGTCGACCCGCTGCTCACTCCCGCTCCTCTTCCCCAGCGCAAGGTAGAGGCTATCACTGTGGGAAGACCCCTGCTGGTTCCTTTTCGGAGTTATACACAATTTAACAAGGTGAAATCTCCACAGAATGAAAACTACCATATTTACAATCTGCCACGGGCAGCATTAAGAGAAGTGATGCGCTTGCAAGGACAAGCTGACATGTGTGCTTTACTTAAAATTATGTTGCTGCAGGAAAAACCAGCTGCCACAGCTCACCTGGAATTTTGCTGCCTTGCCTGCCTTGAAGTCCAAGCAGCCTTTGGAGGGGCAGGTGGCTGTCCTGCAGCCCTGAGTCCTGAGCAGGGCCAGGCCTTGACTGACACGGTACCCCAGGTGAAGGGCAGCTTTGGCGCTCTCCTTCCCCAGGTCATCCCCGCGAGGCTTAAAAATAAAAACCCCCAACCCAAACAAAAAGTTGTACCGGGTTGTACCCATTTCACAGCTTGGAGGCATCATTTGTATGTGTGCTTCATCCTCATCGTATCGTTATTATTTATTATTACACTGTATTTATACCCCACCTTTTCCCTCTTGCAAGGAACCCAAGGTCCTCACAACACCCCTGTGAGGCAGGCTGGACTGAGAGTCCGTGACTGGCCCAAAGTCACCCAGTGAGCTCCATGGCTGAGTGGGGACTTGAACCCAGATCCCCTGGGTCCCCAGTCCAGCATCTCACCACCACACCATGTGGCTGTCTAGGGCAATCTAGAGGCAAGCATGGGATCAGGTCACAATTCTTGGCACGCTTATTGAACAGGCAATGATAGATGAACCATTGAATAAATACAGATGAGCTGCCTGTGCCATGCGCTGAAGCCGCTGAGGAGACAGCGGAATAAGGACCCCCTGTCCAGCGCTCTTGGCTTGCGCTAGGTGGAAACTAAGCAAGACTTTCCCTTTGCTTCTGAAGTCACATACAGAAGCATTTTTCCCTCCTGCAAAATACCATTCTGCCCCCAGACTCTTTGCCGTTGCTGCATTATTTTGCACTTCCTTGAGCCTCAGCACTGCCCTGCTTTGGCTGAATCGGACTCTGCATTGTGTGACAATTCCGAAAGCACACTCGCAAGATGGACAGACAAAGTCATGACGATGCCATCCATTCAGGAATCCAGCAGGCAGGAGCGGTCAAAGAACAAGCCATGGACGAAGTGTGGCTATGCAGCCAGATGCTGTCCAGGCAGAGGCAAACGGGAGTCCAAGGGGCAGCGAGATGGAACACTGATCCTCAAGGCACGGTTCAGGAAACAAGGCCGAAGCTTGCATTCCGGCTGTCTCTCATTCCTCCCTGCACCTCCATGGGCCGGCTGGTGCCTGACCCTGGCCTGCTCTGATTACACCTTGGACTTTGCTACTGAACCTCACCATGGGACTTGGCACTCTGCTTTGCCCAGGTTCTGTTGACTGGCCCGGTGTCTCTGTCTTGTCTCTTGCGGCCCACATCCTGGCCCTGAAGACTCCAAGCTGGTGGCCAAGCCCAACAGAACAAATCTGAGTTTTGTCCCCTTTGGGGCTGCATTCGGTCAGTGCTCGCCTCCATTCCCAACCCAAACAGGCGGGACACGTGCAGCGGCTAGAAGAGAGGAATGGTCGAAAGCCATCAAGCTTCATTTAGGCCAGAATCATTTTGCTGTTAAAAGCCTTTAGATATATCTTCATCGATAGAAAAAAGGCCATTTCCTTAATTGATTAGGCCACTGAATGATAAACCTGTGTTTGTCGGATCCCATGACATATAGCAAGTTATAAACATGAAACCGAGTGGTGAGGAACTTGTGCAGAGTTACAAAAGAGGAAATGCGAAGTGTGCCATTGGTGGCAGCTTGGAGGGCCATCACCCCATCCTGGATGGGGTTGTATCCCCCCTAAAGGACAGCGTCTGCAGTTTGGGGGTGCTCCTGGACCCAGGACTGTCTTTGGAAGCACAGGTAGACTCGGTGACCAGCAGCACCTTTCTTCAGCTGCAGTGAATTTACCAACTTTGCCGCTACCTGGGCAGACAGAGTCTTGCTACAGTTATGCAAGCACTGGTAAAATCTAGGTTAGATTACTGTAATGCACTCTGTGTGGGGCAGCCTTTGAAGACAGTCCAGCAAATTCAACTGGTTCAGGATCAGGCTGTGTGTTTGATAACTGGCAGTACCTTGCAAGCCCATGTGGGACCAATTCTTTACAATTTACATTGGTTACCAGTTCGGCCCAATTTAAAGTGCTTGTTTTGACCTATAAAACTCTAGCTACCTTAAGACCTGGCTACTTAAAGGTCCACCTTCTCTCGTATATACCTACCTGATGACTAAGATCTGGTCAGGAGCTCCTTCTAAAGGAGCCATCCCTCAAAGAGATAGAAGGATAGCAAATAGCAGAAGGGCCTTCTTGGTGGCCGCCCGCCACTTGTGGAATGAGTTCCCCAGATAAATTCACCTGTCGCTGACATTAATCTCTTTCTGGCTCCAAGTGAAAACATTTCTCTTGTCGGAGCACTTTAACAATAAATTTTAATAACTGATTTTAATGGCTGTAACAAGGTATCATTTTGTGGTTTCCCCCCAGTGAGAACACACAATGGCCTATTTGTTTATTGTGCTTTTGCTGACAGCTCATGGTTTTTAATGGCATGGATTGTTCTTATTAGCTTTCTCGTCTTAATGTGTGTGTAACTTTAAGTGTTGTGAGCCTCCCAGAGACTCACTTGGAGTAGGAAGCGGCATGCAAGTCTCATAAACAACTCGTTCCTCATTGCACTGTCTGTGTCTGACCCACCTCCCACCATCCAGGGATCGTTTATAACGTTGCTGTTGTAACAGGAGACATCAGAGGAGCTGGTACAAACTCCAAGATCCACATCGTCATGCATGGCTCCAAAGGGCTGAAAAACAGTGGGAAAATATTCCTGGAAGGCGGCGAATTCGAGCGTGCCCGGTCAGACCTTTTCAACGTCGAGATCGCTGCTCTTCTTAGTCCCCTGAGTCGCGTCTCCATCGGGCATGATAACGCGGGCGTCAGCTCTGGCTGGTATTGCGAGAAGGTGAGGAGAGCCCCAGAGGGCTGTGCGACTGTTTTTCCCATTCGCAGTGTGGCCAGCGTGACCTGGAGCACTTGAGAAAAACTCCTGCTGGCCGTGTTGGATACGATGCCATCGGGCGAGCCATTTAATGCTAATGGGATCCATCTAATGAAAGAACACGTGTTGCAAATCTGATTTCACCCATACATGCCCTGGGACATCCAGTCTTAAGCAGAAATCAGTTGTGCGCCCATGAAGTCACTGGATCGTCTGCGGTCTCAGAAAGGAGGTTTAAGGCACCCTTGGGACTGTGCAGCAAGGACAAAACTGTCAATTTGGACCAGATTTGCATTAATTGGTATGGAGTTGGAATGGCACAAACTCCTGGTTAAACCCAGGGTTGTGAGTTCCTCAGATCTGTGGATATAGCTAATTAAAAGCCTTAATTTAAAAATTAACAGTCAAGGTTCTGTAACTCAGTTCCCTAATAACCCTGCGTCAGCCCTTCCCTTCCTCTAATTTCGGAACTTTGCTTGTACTCACGATGATCACGCATTAGGTCTCATCTAGATGGAAAGGACAAAGATAAACATAAATAACCTCCCCTGACACTGTTCTTTTCTGGCTCGTCTCCCCCTGCCAGGTGGTGGTGTATTGTCCATTTACAGGGATTGAACAAACCTTCCCCTGTGGGAAGTGGCTAGATGAGGATGAAGGAGACGGACTGGTTGAACGGGAACTCTATGAAATGGTCTCGCTGCGTCAGAAGAGACTGAAAAGTAGGTATCCGAGAGCGGAAGGCTTCAGTGCTTGCTAACGGTGTGCTCTTGTCCTCATCTCACTTAAGCACTTTCTACGGACTTTTGTTTAGATTTATACTCCTTTTTGTGTTAAGGAAGAATAGAATTTTGGTGGGGGGAGGCTTTTGAAATATGCTGGGGGAATACAGAAAATCAACCTATGCATCTGGATCAGGGCACATGATGTGCTAGGAATGGGCTAAGGAACAGTACAATGGAAACCATACACAAATCAAACCATGATCCAATGGGAGATTTATTCTAGTTTCCCAATGAGTGCAGTTTTCCTAATTTGCTGAGGTTTCAAATATCCTAGGCTAAAGTAGGTCTGAGGAAATCTTTGCAAATTGGAACATTAGTACAAATAGACTCGGGAATCAGGAATGAGATAAATGCAAGCATGGACTCAAACATTTACAAATATTCTTGGCAGATGTCTTCACGCTGCAAGCATCGAATGGGGCATGCTCACATATTTTGCGTGCGAGAACAAAATTCCCACATGTCTCTACTTTGCACAGAAGGTCCTCTATCCTCAACCCTACTACCCTGGTTCTACTGCAATTCAGTTTTCTCCTCTCCTATCATGTATAGATCCTCATGAACATAATTGTCTACTTTCCCCAACTGACCCTCCATCTTACCCTCAGGCCTGGTCACTTTAAAATCAGTCTTTAAAAGTGAATGGAAAATGATACAGTGCAGAGATCATAATAACTGTTTCTTGCTGTTAAAAAAAGTGGGAAAGATTTTGGTGCTCTCCCCACTATCTACTCACCACAGCGATGTTCAGCCATTACTAAAGGGGCCGAGAAAGGCCAAAAAACAATATACAAGACAAACCAGGGGGACCTGTGAGTTGCTAACTGGCTGCAATAAGCGTAACGTTCCAAAATCCTCTTCAGTGTTATCCAGAGAGTTGCTGGCATCCTATAGCTGGCACAAGGACCATGGTAGCAAAGTCTTTCTGCTCACTCATCTGGCCCAATTCTGAGTCTTCTGAGAGGGACTGCAGGTGGCGCAGTGGTTTAAACTGCTGAGCTGCTGGGCTGGTTGATCGAAAGGTTGACAGTTTGAATCTGCACATGGGGTGAGCGCCCATTCTTTGTCCCAGCTCCTGGCAACCTTGCAGGACCATATAAATGCAAGTAAATAAATAGGTACCACCTTGGTGGGAAGGTAACAGCATTCCATACACCTCGGTGTTTAGCCACGCTGGCCGCATGACCACGGAAACTGTCTGTGGACAAATGCTGGCTCCCCCAGCTAGGAAACAGAGATGAGCACCGCCCCCTAGAGTCAGGCATGACTGGACTTCAATGTTATGGGGAAACCTTTACCTTTAAGTCTTCTGAGGAGCACAGGCTGAGGGGCTACCAGAACTCACCAGAACCCAGCTGAGCCCCCTTCCTCCCATACCCATCCCCTGGAACGCCTCCACAATGCCAACTCTCTGGTTTCAGCATCCGAACGCCAACAGTTCAGCACATTTCTGCATTTCTCCAAATTTTCCTATGGCCATCTGGAATTGGTCTAGCAGTCCTAGGATTGTGCACTAAGAACTATCTTATGTTTACTTTTTTAAGTGTGATCCAAAAGGCAGCTAAATTGTGTCCGGGCCCAGGACTGAGCCCTGTATATCACCTGGGTCTTCTCTCATGCAAAAGCCTTGTCACTTCTGACGATGTTTGTTAAAGATGATGTATCATTAATTTTGAGTTGTCTAAGGGCACTATCTTATGTTTCTTTAGCTAGGGGGAAAGTGCATGCTGGATAGAGGATGTTGGGAGTTGTGGGACTTTTTAATTTTGTAGAAATAAATATTTTTAATTAAAAATCCTGCCTTTTTTCCTTTCAAGGAACTCATGGAGGCTGCCATAATTCTCCTCCTGCTCTCAGTCTTATTCTCACAACAACAACCTTGTGAGGGAGGTCAGGCCAAGAGACCGTGACTGGCCCAAAGTCACCCAGTGGGCCCCATGACTGAGTGGGGAGGAGAACTCAAGGCTCCTGAGCCTGTTCCTGTGCTCTTAACCACTACACCACAGTGGCTCTCAGTGGCTAACCGTGCACAGAACTGCTTCCTAGCGGCTCTTCGACCTGCTATGGAAGGATCTAGAAGCATTCTACGTACCCAGCAGCATCAAAATGTTTGTTCTCCCCAGAAGCAATGTTTTCTTCAGGAATGAAAAGTTGCATGCGGTTTGCAACTGGTGGGGAAATGCATACTGCCTGCCTGCCTCACTCCCCGGTTATCACCTTTGTACAACAGATGCTTTCTAAAATCGGCCGGAGCTTTGTCAAGCCGAGATGCCCCTGCAGTGCATTGTCCACCCTGCTTAAGAAGCGATTCCACAAGAACCAGGCTCGTTCCTGCAAACATTTCTTAATGTTACAAGCACTTTATCTCAGCGGCACAGTCCATTCAGCCAAAGCATTTATGACCTTTAAACAGCCGTATTAGCAACCCTGCCTGCTATTGACGGTGCAATTCCTCCGTGGCCGTTGTATATTAAACGAGCAGGAAGCAGTGGCCCCGAGTAATTGCTGACCTTTTGCTGGCAAACAATGGGTCGGCTTGCATTGTCGTCTTACCCTCCTGGCCGCCTGGCCTGGCACACGCCTTCCCGGCCCTTTGCGAGACGTCCGCCCGAAGGCCTCTCAGCTGCGCCCCTTGCCAAGGCTTCCCGTGGAAGCCACGGGACTCACTTCAGCCAGGCTGTGCTCACACAACATTCCCGGCAACCTCCCAGCAGCGGATATTGGGCTCCCCCATTTTGTCCCCATGACAGCTTCAAGAAGTAGGTTCGACTGAGTCCTTCTCCCCTCCGTCTGGGTTGTGCCACTGCAGACGGGAGGCGGGTGCTCTCAGGGATCAACATTCTTCCCGACGACCCTCTCCTCAAAAAGCACTTCTGCAGAGAAAGCAAGCATGCCAGGGAGAAAAGCTTGTCTCCGGCCTGACACGCCTTGTTTTCATGTGCAAGACTCCACTCCACCCATTTTTTTCTTTTTGAGCCCCTGTTTGCAGTCCAAAGTGGTCCAGGCCAGAAGAGGACTGGTGAGGACTGGGCACCAGCATGTGCCTGGCTTAGCCACGGCCTGAGTTTCACTTTCTCTGGTCCAGGCTCCCGTCAGACCATCCCAAACTCCCCACACCAGGTGCTTTTCGGCCATTATGGTGCAATGGCCTTCCTGACTGAGAGTGAGGACATGGAAAGGTGCACCTGTTGAACACCTGCACACCGTACAGCCATTAAAGGCGCAGAGAGGGCTGCCAGGAAAAGGAAGGACACTTGTTTCATTGGCAGCTGGTGTTTCTTAGTTTGGGTGATGCCTTTCCCCCGCATCAGTGCTCTTCCTTAATTTTTATTTATTTATTTTGCGTGACTGTGCAGAAAATCCTTGGTCTCTGTGGATCTGGACAAGTGACATTAAGGGTGCAGGGACTGACGCCCCCATCTTCCTCCAGATTTATGGTAAAAAAGGAAAGTCGGACGAGATGAAACTGGACAATAATTCTGATAACTTTGAAGCTGGACAAATTGACAAATTCATGGTATGGTTTCTTAGCTTGCATATGTACTCCTTGCTTCCCATTGGATCTTAAGAGGGCAAAGGCCACCTTTGGTTGCATAGCCAGAAGCGTGGCTTCTAGATCGAGAGAGGTATCACTGCCACTCTGTATGACTCTGGTGTGCCCACAACTGGAGTATTGTGTTCAGTTCTGAGCTCCTCATTACAGGAAGGATATTTCCAGTTGGAAGCGGTGCAGCACAGGGCCACAAGAATGGTGGCCGGATTGCAGGGAAAGCCGTATGAAGCGAGACTGAGGGAGCTGGGTCTTTTCAGCCTCGAGAGGAAGAGACTCCAAGGGGATCTGTTGGCGACATATAGATATGTGAGGGAGTGTCACACAGAGGTGGGTAGAGACCTGTTCTCCCCTGCACAGGTGGGCAGGATACGTTCCAATGGAGTGAAGTTAAGGGAACCAAGGTTCAATTTGGATGCCAGGAAGTACTTCCTGACAGTTAGGACCCCGAGGTTATGGAATGGGCTGCCCCGGGAGGTGGTTGAGGCCCCATCGGTGAGGGTGTTCAAGGATAGGCTGGACATGCACATGGTAGGCATGTCATGAACAGAGCCAGCTGGAGCCAGGGGTCAGACTAGATGGCCCAGGAGGCTTCCTTCCCCTCTCTTCCCTTAGCTACAATCCTCACAGTAGCAGAGGAGGAAGGATATATTTTTCTTGCAACAATCTTTTGTTGGGTGGCTTGGTCTGGCACTGGCAATTGTGACCTGGTAGCTTTAGAAAAGAGCTGCTTTTCCTAGAGGTGACAAGAACTGAAATGGGTTTACTGTTCCAGATCAACATACCTACCTGTAATTCTAGATTCTCCTTGTGGGTGGGACTGTGGGGACCATCATAGCAAGCACCAGGGAGGTTCGCCTGGTGCCAACGCATTTTTCTTTTCGGCGCCAGGCAAACCCCTTTTTATTTTCCCATCATTTTAATGTTGAATCGGTTTCAATGTGGTTTTTATAATATTGAACTACTGGATGCTGTGCTCTATTTTATCTGTTGTTTTGTTGTAAACCGTCCCAAGACTCTAGTAGATGGACAGTCTATAAAGCCTTAAATAAATAAATACTAATCTCACCACTTCACAGCTGAAAGCAAGATGTTTTGGGATGTGGGGGCAGGAGCAGAGTTTGCTTAGCAGGACAACTTCCCAGCAGACTGTGCCCAGCCTAGTAAGAACCTCCCACAAAAACGTTTTCTCCTTGTTCACACAGATTGAGCTCCCAGACCTAGGAGCAATGTACAAAATCCGGATATGGCATGAGAAACGGAGCCCGTTTGCTGGTTGGCACCTGCACAAGGTAAAGGTCGCTTGAGCTCTGGGCAATGTGTGAAAGGCACCACTGTTTATGCTTGTTCCCATGAATTCACACCCATGTCTAACACTGAAGCCAAGATGTGGTGTTGGTTTTCGTACTCGCATGTTCAGGGAACCCTTTCCGTGGAGGGTCTGAGCATTTGGTTTCTGAATGTGGACTCAGGTTTGAATCAGTAAGAGCCAACAAAAGTCCTGTCCCAAAGTCTCAGATGGAATCAAAGCTTGTGCTCTAGAAATAACTGAATTGTATAAATTATTTGGATGAAAGAAAAGGCGTAGATTGCTCTAGTGTTTGTGGCCTGTTGCTTACATATGCTTATCACAGATATTGCTTGGTAAAAAGTAGGTTTATCTCCTGCTCATTGCAATCCATTCAGGTAGATTTGTCTGATTCTGAGCTGCCGGGTGGAGGGCGAGGGCTTGGGAGTTTTAAAGCTGCTTAGTGACGCTTCTCAGGCAGAATCAGCTTGCTTTGGAAGGTGCACAAAGGTTTTCATGGTGGAAGCGGGAGCAGATGTGAGGCCCAATCCTTGACCCAGGAAGCGATGGGAGAAACAAGCTGCCCAGGCACAGCATCTCTGCTATTCTTGCCCTCTTGCTCTCCAGCAGTCAAAGCCCCCCTGGTGGTGCAGCCAGAGGGACCAAGGGGAGCCTTCCAGTTTAGATTCTACTCTTTACATGGGCAGAGGCTTCTCCCTCAGCTATGGTAAAAGGATATTTAGAACTGATACTGTTCTATAATCTTTTAAGTTTCAGTAAAAGAACTGCACTTCATATCATTATCTTGAGTTTGATAACCAGAAGGAGACAGGAAAGGGAACTAGCTCATGACCATTTCTGCCATTTCTAGGGAGAGGCAAGGTGCTTAAGTGCATATTCTACTATCCAAGATCGACAGGCGTTGCACAGGCATGCTAAACATGAGGACTAGAAACTTATTTTGTTTCAGTAAGGACAGAGCCTCAAGATGATTGATTGTGTTCCCATTATCAAGTGTTTTTGCTGCACAGTGGAATAGCAGGCTATTTATAAACTCTGCTTCAGATAGTCATGGAACAGGAAGATACTCCTTTTGCTACAGAACCATTTGCAACAGCAAAGACAAATGACCTTTTTAAATCAGGTCAAATTGTTCATCGAGCTTGGTTCTGGGTCTCTGATTTGATAGGTTTCTGCCCACTTTTTGTGCTACGTGGAAGTGTAGAGGATCCTGTTGGAGGTTAGTAAACCCTGAGACCTTGCGGAGGCAGACTGGTTCCAGGCACTCATTCTTAGCTCATTAGTTTTGGTTTGCTGCCACTTCCACTCCTGGAGGAAAGTCCTGCTGCAAAGGATTCTCCATTCATTCTCTTATCAAAGACTTTAATAGGACTGCAGTGTTTTGCCAGTTATTCAGATACAGATCTTTTGCAGCATGGTCCTAAACATAATTGCTTAGAAGCAAGTCCCTCAGAGTTCAGTAGTAATTCAGTTTAGGATTGCAGCCTTACTGTGTAACCCTATGTGTTTACTTAAGAACAGAATTGCAGCCTGAACCAATTATAAGAGTGTCCTGACTGGATAAATGGTTTTCTTGTCTGCCACGAGAAGAGAAGCCTGAAGGGAGATAGATTAGCACTCTGGGAGTACTGAAAAGTCTGTCACAAAAAGGAAGGCCAGGATATCTTCTCCGTCATCCCAGAGTGTGGGGTGCAGAACAAGGGGCTTGAGTTGCAGAATTCCAGCTAGATATCTGGAAAAACGTCCCGAGTGTTAGAACAGCACGACAATGGAGCCCATGCCTAGGGAGGCGGTGGGCTCTCCCACACTGGAGGCATTCAGGAGGCAGCTGGGCAGCCATCTCAGAGGGATGGTTGAGCTGGGAGTCCTGCACTGGCCCCTTCTGGCTCTACTGCTCTATGATATGGTTCTGTCAGTCTTTCTCTTCTTCTGCGTGAGGGGCAGTGAGGGCAGGAGTGCTGGACTGGGGACCTGGGAGAACCAGGCTCTCGTCCCTATTTGGCCATGAGGTTCCCTGAGTGACTTTGGGCCAGGCACTCCCTCTGAGCCTAACCAGCCTCACGGGGTTGTTGTTGTGAGAATAAAATGGAGCCAGGTAAGCCACTTCGGGTTCTTTGGTAAATTCGTATCACAAAAAAGCCGAAACAAAATTCTCACCCATCTGCCCTGGCCGAATTCAGTTGTCACATCTTGTACTTGCCTGCTATGTAACATTTATGTATGTATTTATGTACATATTTATATGCCGCCTATTAACTGCTGAAATGCTTTCCTAAGCAGCTTAGAACTACATATTAAACATAGTGAAGCAACACATTAAACATGTATATAAATAACAACATATTAAAAACTCTTAAAAGCAACAGACAATTAAAACATCAATAATAAACAATAATATAAAAATACTACCAGCATTCATAGGGCTAAGTATTTTTTAAGGTATGTTTTTGCCTGGTGCCAAAAAGAAAATAAAGATGGCTCCAGGTGAATTTCCCCGGGGGGGGGGGAGTTCCAAAGATGGGGAGCAGCAGCGCTTCACCTGGTTGCCACCCGTCTCGTCTCCCTGAGGAGCGACTCTTGCAGAAGGGCCTCCTGAGCTGCTCTTAGTGGGTGGGTGTCAAATACGCAGCTTTCCAAAAGGAGGAGCCTGCCGGGGGTTGAGGGCAAACCCCTTTGGGGTCTGTCCCTCCAGCATCCCTGGACTTCCTCACATGCACTTCCCAGCCCTGCCAAGCGAGCTGAGCCAGGAGGAACTCTGCAGGTGCTCGTGGACCCATAAGCAGCAGCCTTCCCTATCAGGTGCAGTTTCCCAGAGAGCAGCTGCAGGATGCAGAATGGGGTGCTGTAAGTGGGCGGGCCGGGTGCCATTCCCTGCTTTCCCACTAGGGGCAGCACTGGGCACTGTGAACGGGCAGGCCAGGTGCTCTTCCTGGCAGCCCACTGTCTTCCCGACTGGCTGGTTTTGGGAGCAGAGCAGGGGCACAGTGAGCAGGTGTGCCAAGCCCCTTTCCAGGTGACCAACCTTCTTCCCTGCATGGGCAGCCAGTGGTGGCTCCCCCCGGCATGGAAGAGGCGCACTGCTTGTGCGATGCGTGAGCCTCATTTGCAGAGAAGAGATGCTGGGAGCCTTCTCTAGGAACTTGCACATGGGGCCGCTGCAAGTGGACCAGCGTCCGGGAAGCCGAACCAGGGAATCCAATGGATGGATTCCTCACGCATCTCTGAGCAGGGAGGTGGCAATCCCATTTTCTGTTGAAAACACAGGGATTCAAACCCAGAGCTTTAAAAACTCTTAAAGCCTAGCCCTGGATGGATACATCTGTCAGGTCTGTTTTTCTCTCACATTCTTTATTTAAAAACATTCTGCTATTGCTTCTTTGGTTGCTAAAAAGACCTTTGACAAAATTCATTAGGCATTGTTCATGTATGTTGGTCTTCCTGTAGAATTTTGAAATGGGTCAAAATTTTATTCTCAATCCCAAGAGCTGGAATTCTGACCAATGCTCTTTTCCCAGATTTTTTTTTTTACTTAGGAGAGGTACCAAAGATTTTTTCCACTTTTTTCCACTAATATTTGATTTATGTTTGGACCACCTTGCTGTGTGCTATTTTAGACAGAATAGTGGCCGATGTGGTTTTGCGCATGATAGATTTGTATTCAAAATTATACTTTAAGTGGACGAATGTCATTGCTTATTTCAGAATTCCAGTCATTTATTCCAGCGCTGATGCAGCTGATGAATACTTTGGGTTGTTATTTAAACCTCACAGGGCCATGCTACAAAGGTAAATGCCCGCAGCAAAATTGCAACAGTCTGTTCTTCCAAGGAAGACAACTTTGGAGGGGGCAGTCAGGAGCAGAAACTGGGCAGGGTAGCCTGCATTTTCATCTCCCCACTCCTCAAGCTATTTCAACCCTAACCCTAACCCTTTCTTTGGGGATCCAGGTGTCTTTGATTGCTTAAATCAGCCTCCCTCAACACGTTGCTCTCCAGATGTTTTGGACTTTAATACCAAAGTTATCATTCCCAGTCAGCATGTCCCAGTCCAACCCATCTGGAAGGTGGCTAGACTGGCTTAGGCATTCTCAGTGTAAACCAGTGTGTTGGACCGCTCTCAGTTCAAGGGCTGATTTGGTTTTGGAGAAGCCTTTGGAGACTGTGTTCCAGTAGTGGGAAAGGATTGGGACCAAGGAAAGGGGATGTGGCCAGGGTTGGGATGAGCCTGATCAGAATCGCTCCCTCCGCCATCCACATCTATCTTCTCGTGCCGGCTCCAGCCCTGTAAAGCAAGCTCAGCTGAGAGGAAGTCCACAAATACTCACAAATCCCCCACTGTGCAACTGGCAATCTTCCCCACCAAGTGCAGCAACCCAAAGGGCAGCTGAAGGACATAGGAACAGAGGAGCAGAGCGAGCCAGAAGGGGTCTCCTGGGCCATCTAGTCTGACCTCCGGCTCCAGCCGGCTCTGCTCATGACATGCCCACCATGTGCACGTCCAGCCTATCCTTGAACACCTGCACCGATGGGGCCTCAACCTCTGCCTGTGGAAGCCCATTCCACACCCTTGGGGTCCTGACTGTCAGGCAGTGCTTCCTGGCATCCAAATTGAACCTTGGCTCCCTGAGCTTGGCTCCATTGGAGCACATCCTGCCTTCCTCTGCAGGGAAAAACAGCTCTCTACCCCCCTCCATGTGACACCCCCTCACATACCTGTGCTTGCCAGGAACTTGGGTTCTGCAAAGCAGACTGGGATCCGCAGAGCGCAGGAAACCTGATGGATCCCCACCCCTCGGGGGCTTCCTCACAGAACCCTAGAGGTGGCCACTTGAGGAATCCCTAGAGGCTGGATTTGATCCCCGGGCCAGACATATCCTGCAGCTCTGCTATTAATGACACTAAAATAGATTTATGGCATGTGTTGTTTCCTCTGGAACACCCTGGCTCTTCTTGAAAACAAGGATGTTGAAAACATATTTAGTTGAAAGTCCAGTTAACTGAGGAGAGGAAATAGAAGTAAATACCATTTTGACCAACGGTTTTTCTCTGCGGGTGGCCCAGCCAGGGGATCTTGCCTCTTGTGATCCATCCTTGTGATCTAACCCCGTCACTGTCATTTTCCCCTGGTGATCTAACTGAGCCTACACTTGTTTGGTAACTTGCCCTGTGTCTGGGCTCCTCATCCGCCCCCCCCCCCCAGCCTCTTTCATTCACTTTTAACTTTGTGAATTCTGGTGCCATTTTGGTTTGATGAAAGGTGACTCTTTTGAAAACCCTGACCAAAGAGAAGTACACGTTCAACTGCGGCCGTTGGCTGGATATAAATGAAGATGATAACGAGATTGTGCGGGAACTCGCTGCTGAAGGCCCCCTGGTCACTGAAGTGGAACCAGGTAAGAAGAAAGAGGATTCTATAGCAATGAACGGTAAGTTCGTGCAAGCGTTGCCGAGAGCAGGCGTGCACCCCCTCAACCTGGGGCCCACGCCTGTCCCTTTGGGGGTCCCAGTCTAGCATTCCAGGTTGCTCCGACTCGGCCTTCCTCCTTCCCCTGCTCCCACCCCCGTTCTCCAGCCACCAACCGTCTGGTTGTCCCCTAGCTTTGCTGCAGCTTTTCCCTATTCTAACATTTAGAAAGTTAAAATATGCTGGCATTTCGGCCTCACTGCCTTTGCCTTACTCCCTTCTGCTTTCAGTCCTGCCTGCCATTGGAATGATGCTCACGGGGGTTTCTCCAAAATGGAACCCAGCCTGCGAACTGGAAGCAGTTCTCCTAGACAGGCAGGGGAACAGGGGCCCTTGCATGCTTTGCTCAGCTTTACTGGCACTGATGCATTTGCAGGCACCTGTGGTGGGATGATTCGCAGAGCATCTCTTCACTGGCTTTTATCAGACATCCAGTGATTGTGCTGAGACATCAGCGGAAAAGACAACAGGTCTGGAATGCCAGGGCCATTCGGGCGAACTAAGGGAACCTCTTGCAGCTTGAGGGATGAATCCCATTTCATGGGAAGCTCTTGCTGTGTGGAGCTGAAGGCAAAAGGACTGCAGTCCAAAATGCCAAGAATCCGAGCTGGGCAAGTTCTGGCTCCCAATAACTAAGCCTGAGAAAGGACGTTCTTAGAGGGGGAACTGCACAAAGCGGGGAAGCCACCAAGGTGTGCTTAGAGCAATAGAGGTGGGTTTACTGGGGGCAATGTCCATATTTGCCCCCCACCTAGGTTAGTCTGGGCCTCCGGGCCTGAGTTTCTGCGCTCCTGGGTGACACCTTCTTGCTATCATGGGTGCCTTCAAGAAGGCTGGGTTGCAAATGTCATAATTAACTCATTATGGGCATCCTTGTACTTAATCTTGTCCTGCCTTCATTCCAAAAAGGATGTTTCTTAAGGTGCCTGCTGTCCATTGAGATAGTGTAGAAACAGTGAAGGAGGCTAGATTTAGAAAAAGAAACAGAGCGAGTCAGAAGGGGTCTCCTGGGCCATCTAGTCTGACCCCTGGCTCCAGCCGGCTCTGCTCATGACATGCCTTACTATGTGGACGTCCAGCCTATCCTTGAACACCCTCCCCAAAGAGGCTTCAACTGTTCCAGCCATTCCATTTGGAGCAGGTCCCATTCCATGCTTGATCCAGGCACTTCACCAGGCCTATATCTGTCTCCAATCAGGAGAAAAACTGGCATCTTTTTTTAAAGTGAAAGGTCTTACAATACTGAATTCTTCGCACGTTTATTGCTCTGCACATGCAGACTCTGCTGTTAGAAACATATGAAACACACATAGCCCTGACTATCTTGTAAGGGAGCTTGGGACAGAAGACGGACTGTTCCACTCTTTCACCTCCACATTATCTGCACCACCTCCCGCAGTTCGCTCACAACGTCCTTTTATCGCAGGGTTTCCTTCTCCAGCCCTTCCCCTCGGAACCTGGGTGCACCTCCCTGATCTGTGTCCCCAGGCAGGTGTGTGCGCTCACTCGGACCAGCAAACACTGGGGGCCGAGGTTGGGCCAAGCACGGATCAGCCCTCCTCGGTCTACACAGCTGAGCTGTCTAAGAGTGGTAACCTCACACCCGTGTGTGTTGCTGATCTGGCACCGCTTCCAGGAGGCAGGGAGCTGACACTGGGATTTGGGATGAGAGATACCGACCCCCCTCCCCACAGCCCCAACCTGCTCATTGATCAGTATGCAGAGAGGAGCAGTTCCCGAGACATTACAGGGACGATTAGACTTGCAAATGCTATGATTAAAATGTCAACAAACCTTTGATGAAGTTTATTTTTAATCCATGTGTGAAGTGGTTGGCTACCAGGGACTGAGCACATCCCTGGCTGGGTGCTGTTTGCCGAGCGCAGGAGGCCATCGGGAGCGAGTGCCGCAGTGCTCGGGCCTCCCCTTTACGAGCGCATCCTCTTGGCCCAACGGTGGATCTCGGCAAGCAGCACTCGGCAACCAGGGGCCAGCACAAGGGCCTCCCACTCGCTCTTTCCCTCTCCGGCGCCAATTCCCGCCACTCCTTTTCCTCTCTTGCCCTGTGACCAGGTGACCTGAGTTCCCGCTCAGGCTGAATTTGCAGACCTTGGCACTGGAGGATCCGCACGTTGTGGGAATGCAAGGTGACGGGCCTCAATCTTGGCTCTCCCATTCTCTGCAACTGGCATTGCTGTAAGGGACGGGAAAGGGGGATTTTTGTTGGACAGGTGAGGAGGGAGAGAAAAAGCACGTGAACTCAAGTTTTGCTCCTAAACATGGTTTTCAAATAGCAGGATTACATCTACATAATGATAGTGTAAGAGGAGGAAAATCATTTCTGTCCCTCTCCCTTTCCTCCTGCCACTAAAGCAGCTCCAGTTCGAATGGAATGGTGCGCTTTTACCGAGCTATTATTGTGTTCGTTTCATGTATGTTCACCACTGAGCACAGAACACGGAGCATGGGCAGAGGGCTGCTGGAATAGAATCCACATTTGGGCTCCCACCGCATGGACGGCACAACGGGGTTGTGGGCATTCCCAGCATTTTGCCTAACAGAAGTAGCAGTGGGTGGGCAAAAACCCGCATGCTTTTTATGAGGTGTGCTTGGCGCCCAACAACACGATGCTTTAGTGTTGCTCGGGGCCTGTGGAAGGTTTTATGTTTCTGGGAAGGCAACCGAATATAGAGTGCTAGAAGCATACAAAACAAGCGCACAGCTGTAGAATTGCCTATGGGAACCACGAGCCGAGAAGCGGCCAGGGGACTGCCCTCTGCCATGTGGGCGAAAGCCATGCGGCTCAATGGCGGCAGTTTTATTTCATTTTATTAATCTGTTCCTTTGCAGTGATTAAGTACCGGGTGACGGTCTACACAGGGACAGTGAGTGGAAGTGGGACAGATGCCAATGTCTTCGCTTGTCTCATCGGGGAACAGGGAGACACGGGGGACCGCGTCCTACAGAACAGCGTGAACACCGTCAATAAGTTTGAGAAGGGCAGCGTAAGTCAGAGTGCGTCTGTGTGGCTGGAGGAACATCCGTGGCGGTAAACTAGCTGCGGAGAAAGGCAGAGAGAGAGGCGGGGCGCTCTCATGGGTCTGGTGGTCCCAGGGGCATCAGTATTTGCAAAGAGGCTGAGCTGGGAGGAGGGGACCAGTCATGGAACCTGTTCTCAAGCCATGCAGGGTTTTCATTGCAGCTGGAAATGGCCCGGGAGCCAGTACAGTGAGCTAAGCACAGGTATAAGATGCTCACAGCATCCCATCTGAGTTGGCAATCTAGCAGCCTTCTTTGGGACCAGTTGCAGCTTCTAACCCCTCCCCCCCAAGCTGCAACGGGAAGCTGCACTGCAGCCAAGCCATTGTCTTCTTGACACAGTGCCGATATGCTGATACAAACTGCTTTTCTTGCTGCAGAACCTAGGTGGTAGCACACGAGGCTGGTGAGCCCTGGGGCAGCGGGAGCTTCATAAGAGCTACCCATGGAACTCAGGTCCATCCCCAGATAGGTTCATCACCATGGAGCACAGTGCATAGCTCAGGATAAAAGCTGCCATGGATGAAGGGCCCCGCTGACACAGGCATCAATGGCCTTCTCGAGGAACCGGCCAGCTTTTGGTTTTACCCCTTGTTTGCCTGCAGTTGCTGGTGGCCGTTTTGTTGGTCCCAGAGATGGAGAGCAGAGCCTTGTTGGAGGTTGCATGTGATGGAAAGGAAGTGAACCGCAAAGAAGTGGGTGAAATGAAGGAACAGGTGGCACTGCTTAGCTTTTCAGCATCATGCACCCCAAATTTCAGAGTCAGTTTTCTCTAAGCAGGTGGTACAGCATTTTGCGGGCGTTTAATGTGGCTTCTCTGCAGTGGCTGTAAGACAAAGAGGTCTGAGTTTTTATGCTCCAAAAACACACAACAGGGAATGTCCCCAGCTGCATATGAATAACTGTAACACACCCTTTCCTTAGCAGAGCAATTCAGGAAGTTGTAGACAGAAAGGGAAATGAGTTCTCCTTCTCCCAATTCCTCAAAGAAGAATGCATGGCAGCTCTCAACCTGTTGGACACGCAAAGAAGGGGAATATTAAAGTTATTTATATGCACCACTTAGGTTGCTGTCCCCTTTTTGGTGGGTTATAAAGCAGAAACCAGCTTGGAAGCACCCCAGCAGACCAGCTCTGAAGCAGGATTTTTCACATGAACAGAAGCTGTTGTCAGAATGCTCTGCCATGTGTATTTCCAAAAGCCCTAAGTATTCTTGTTGCTGTTTATCACAGATATCTTATTAGAACAGCTCAAAATGCTTTTAAATACACCTATTGTAAGAACAACAGAATTATGTATTTCTGCAAGTATTGCCCAATGTCATTAAAGAAAGAGCAGGTGCTATGTTTTAAAAAATTTCTATCTTTGCGTTCAAATAAGCAAACGCAGACATACAGAACCATGGGTCAAAACCAGATGGTACTTTAAATCCATATCTAGCAGCTACAGCATTTTCTTATACTCTAGAGAGATAAGGAGACACAAACAGGATCTCAAAAGTCCTCTACCTATCACCACATGAGGTGGTCCTGCTTGAAGTTTTCGCACTGTCATTTTTCTGCTGGTGGATTCCTCTGAGGAGGAGGAGAAGGAGGAGGAGGAAGCAGAGCTCCCAGATCTGGATCCCTTTATACCACCCATGTCAGAAGATCAGGCAGAACCTGAGCCCTCAACAAAGGTCCACCTCTGGTGTAGATCCACCTCTGTCAGGAGCAGGCTGGACCCTGCCCCAGGAGGGCCATCATCTCAAGTAGCCGGCAGATAGGGCTCCTGTGGGAAGGGATGCTTGCCTGCAGAGAGGGACAGCTCAGGAGAAAATGTTCCTTCAGGAACAGAGCTCTGGCTGGAGAGCTGTGGCTGAGCCTGGAGTCGAGCTCAACAGGCTCTGGCAAAATAAGCCTTCAAGGTCCACCCAGCTGGTGCAGAAACAAGGATGTTCTTCAGCTTTGCCATCCCTTGATGATGGATGGTCCATGCTACACAACCTTGGCCTCCTGCTTGCCTCTCTCCTGAACTGTAACTGAGCCATGCCTTGACACTTACTGAACAGAAACCGTGGCTTTGATTGCTTGTCTGGTTTTTGGCCTGGATTTTGGGATTGCATCACACATGGGAGTCTGCCTCAGCCAAAGCAGATCCATATTAAAGATTAAAGATCTGCCCAGATTAAAGCTGGGCAAAAGACAAAGCTGCTAGATACGGATCTAAGTCGATGGCTGGGTTTGCTCCATGTGGGCTTTACCACTGAGGAAAACCAAAAGACCCGGTCTTCCTTATTATGGGCCAGTGTGGAGCTTTCTGATGGAAAACCAATTACTGCTAATGTGCTAATAAACCCTGCCATTTAAGAGGCCCACCATCTTGTTCACTGGAGGCAATCTCCATCCATTTTGCATTTGTGCAGAGAGATCTCCTCACACACTACCATTTGCATAGTTTAGATCTGCACTTGAATATTTCACAAGCCATTTCTCTACTGATTTATGCTGAAAGCAGATGATTAGTACCTACAAAGGCAGAATATAAATATCTATCCCTCCCTGCGGCACATTTGTCAATTAAATGATGCGGAATGACTTTTCCTGGCAGGAGGCCCTCCAGAAGTGTTGGACTACAACTTCCATCATCCCCAGCCAGCCAGCCAGCCAGGTGCTCAGGTGGAGAAGGAGGATGTAAAATGAAGCAATAGTCCGTAGACCTTGCCTGTCCTTCCTCATGCATCATTAATACTAATCTAAAGATCTTCATCAATGACCTTCCTTAATCATTAGTTTTCAATTCACAGAGGATTTTCCCCCAGTCCTAACTTCATTCAATTTGATTTCTGTGAATATAAAGGGAACATGTTTTGATTTTCTAATGCTTGCCCTCACAACATCCCTTTGAGGCAGGCCATCATTCTTGCCATTTTACAGATGGTGTAACGAAGGAGCGCTCACTTGCTTAAAACCACACAACAGAATTAGGGACAAGGGGGGACATGGATCCCTTTCTGTGAGGTTCTAGTCTTCATATCCAGCAGTCTGAAATAAGCCTTAATGTCTTGATCCTGGTGTCATGCATTTTAACTCTGCTTCTTTCTCTCTCTCTCTCTCTCTCTCTCTCTCTCTCTCT